GACCATGGTGTTGGTGTGCTTGACTGGCCAGCAAACTCACCAGAGTTTGCCAAGTATTGTCAAGAGGAATGAGCTGAAGAGCTGAAGGCCACTGTCAAAGAAACCTGGGCTTCCATACCACCTCAGCAGTGCCACAAACTGATCACCTCCATGCCACGCCGAATTGAGGCAGTAATTAAAGCAAAAGGAGCCCCTACCAAGTATTGAGTACATGTACAGTAAATGAACATACTTTCCAGAAGGCCAACAATTCACTAAAAATGTTTTTTTTTTATTGGTCTTATGAAGTATTCTAATTAGTTGAGATAGTGAATTTGTGGGTTTTTGTTAAATGTGAGCCAAAATCATCACAATTAAAAGAACCAAAGACTTAAACTACTTCAGTCTGTGTGCATTGAATTTATTTAATACACGAGTTTCACAATTTGAGTTGAATTACTGAAATGAACTTTTCCATGACATTCTAATTGATTGAGATGCACCTGTATGCCCCCTGGAGGTCTGTTGTTTAGATCTAACCTTTATCAAACTCGCCTGAACAAGGTCTTCAGGATTACTAGAAAATTACAGGCAGGCGAGTTTGATCAAGTTAGGTTCTAAACGCCGCGGGACAGCAGACCTCCAGTCAGGGACAGTTTTGAAGAACCGTGGTGTACGAGGTTACGTTGACCTGTGAACAAAGTTGTAAATTTGGATAAAATCACACACAGAAAAGGTTGGTACTTTTGTCCCTCTAATGTCATGTTAACATGCGTATTATTTACGTCTAGTTACTAGACTAGACTCTAGTAGCTACATCAACAGTGTGTTTTGACCGCTACGGATTGGCCCTGTTCATTTACACCGTAAAGGCCCGTTCACACCAAAACGGTCATGTTCTGTTTGTTGTAAGCCTGCGTTGCAGTTATATAGTCTGCCGCTTTAAATGTTTGAGTGATTCCAAAGATATCGTTCCTCTTCATCGTTAAATGTTATAGCTGTTCTGTGGCTTCCCTATTCTCATGGAGTTTCATTATTAAAAGTACAGTTATCCATACAGTTGTCGAAAATGTATCCTTAACGTGGAACATTTCATTTGAATTAGATTTAATTTCACATTTAGTATGTATGGCTACTCTTGAGTATATTAACATTTATATACTAAATGTTTAATACATAATGGTGTGAATCTTGTTTCCTACTAAATTAGTTGCTCTCAATTTAATGAA